TTATGGTTTATTACAAAACAGCACCTGGTAATTATTTAAATGTAGTTCAAGAAAAAATTCCATGTATAAAGTATATGGAATTAAGATTGACTTCCAACCTAAATGTTTGCCACTATATAAAATACCTATTCTGTTATTTCCATTATTAATATCATTGCTTGATTCTGTTTAGCCTTAAAGAACCTGTTGTGTATTAACTTCTCTGATTAAAAAAAAAAGTTAATGAATAAACTTGTCCTTTACATAAATGTAGGTTTGTTTTCACTCTACTTGTAAATTAGTTATGGCAACATATCTAAAACATAGCAGGTTTTAAGTTTCCAGAAACACTCAAAACATTTCATTTTCACAGCAACTTTCAAAAATAACAATTTTCCCAAATATCTAGGCAAGTGGGAAAGGATTCACTATGAGAAAGAGAACTGATAGCTTGTATTTTATCTAAAAACAGGGGAAATGTTTGAAATCTTTATCATGAAATAAAAGACCATAGTCACCATAACTAGTTTTATTACATTACAATAATTAGGAGCAGTACAGTTCATGACAAAAATATTACAAATTTCAGATCACTCCACAGCACATACCCCTATAAACATTTAAAAGTTAATTTTAATTAAAAGAGTGGTCATTTTTAAATTTAATGTTTGAAAAGACCAACATTCCTAGGTCAGCGCAACCAAATGATGGAGAACAACTGGATCACACTGCATATGTCCCACAAAAACAAAAAAAGCACAATGTACAAAATGTGCATGTTTCAGTTTACACTATACAAAAATAGTTAAAATACATTCCAGGTAAACATGTTACATTAAGAAATAGTACTAGTAAGAAATTGGCACTCAAAGGAAAAAAGAAAAAAAAAAAGCAGAAGTATTTTCAACATAAAAAAAAAAGACAGTGGAACTGGAAAGTTTTGGATAAACATTATATAACCCAAGTTAGCTCTATGGGGGCACCCTCTGTAATGGACATTTCTGTAGGCTATAATTTTGTTTTTTCTAAATTCACCTAAGTTGCCTATCGGCACTTAAAACTATTAGGCTAAAACATAAATCTCCAACTAGTTATGACTATTATTTAAGCAAACATATCTTTAGGAAGGAGTAATTTTCATACTGATTGAATTTACAGCTACCAGTTGTATGCTATTCAGTTTCTCAAGGCAGAATCCATGCTACCCAATATTAACACACAAGTTATTAAATATAAACTCAGCTTTACAGTAATTGATTTTTAAAAAAATCATTAATAGATAATAATCAAGAAGATTACTTTTTGACAAATGGAAATGACTTGAAGTTTTTACTCACTCCCCCCCTCCAAAAAGTATAGTAGTATTTTAGAAAAAAATATTACAATAAAAAAACAAAAAAACAAACAAACCCAAACCAGTGGACTACAAATGAGATGAATTTGTGCAAAACACAACTAATATGCTTCAATTTTCTCTATTGTAGGACAAAATTGTGCAATGGTGGCAAAGATTTTGAAATCTATTTTCGGGTCTAAATTCCTATGCAGTGTGACTCAGTTAAACAGAACCTAGAAGTCCTACTTGGGAATATTCACTCAAAGTATTACATATTTATTCTACATTCTTCCACAAACAACTTTATGTCTAAGACTAAGGAATTTTAGCAATTTTTTTTTTTAACTTCAAAACAATTTTAT